CATTCCTGCATGTTTTTATTTGCGCATATGTATTGAGAAAGGTGAGAGAAAACCCGCTGACTTGTCCAATTCAGCCAGACCCAGTTTATGTTATTTAACGCTACTTAACCCCTCAGTCAGCATCACAGCCTTCCAGCGCGTGGGCCTGCTGCCCTCGCCATGTTTGTCACGTGGGTGAGAAGATAAGGCAATATATTGCTCTTTTCTCCCTTAAGTCCCCTTAGTGCCACCACACAGGTTTCCTTCCCCCGTCTGGCTGGGACGTGCATCAGATGACCCAGTCTGTGACCGGTTGCTGCGGTCTGGGCGGGCTGCGGCACCGCGGCCAGGAGAGTCAGGGAGGGCGTGACGCCCCGAGTCACGGGGATCCCGGCGTCACAGCCCCCCGGCAGGAAAACGGGCTCACAGCGGGTCTGACGGAGCCGTGGTGCCGGCAGGGACCGGTGCTGTCAGCTGCACAATCCGCCAACGCCCGCGCGGAGAACAGCATGGGGGGAGCTGCAATACAGTGGCGCGTCTGAACCAGCAGTTGTGTTTTAAGTTTTTTGTGCGGAGAACGGCATGGGGGTAGCTGCAATACAGTGGCGCGTCTGAACCAGCAGTTGTGTTTTAAGTTTTTTTTTTTAAACAGTAATGGAGCTCTGTTAGCCAACTGGATTTTAAGATTCTAAATTGTTGATCTATTTGGCCTTTCAATATGTTACAGGGTTTGGGTTTTTTTCTCCCCTCCAAGAGCCAAGTTCATGGAAAAAATAATATTCCTACCCCCAAGAAAGGTACTTTCATCCTATGCCATCACTAGGTAATACTTAGGCCGGTTTCAGTTGTTCCCCATGTACCAGCACCGCCCAGACTGACGTCAAGGCTCGTCCCACGGGGTAGCAGCGATTGAACAGGGCGACTGTGGATCCTCCTGGGCAGGGTAACTCCCTGTGGGCCGCGGAATAAGTAATAAACTGCGTGTCTCTACCAAGGAGAACCTAAAACCTGGGCCGAGCCTCCCCGGTTTCCTCAGGCTGGCTGCGGAGGCATTCGCGCAGGCCGGCAGCGCCCCGGCCCGGACG